TCCCCGGCAACGGCTCCATTTTGTTTGTTATTCCTTTCAAGTACAAATATAAGGATAATATAGTGGCACAAGTAAGGATGTCGAACCACAAGGACTTATTGGACCTCTACAAATTACGAGCTTTATGTGAACCATAACTAAACAATGAAACTAACAAATTGAGTTTGAATTTTGATTTGAAAAGTACAGAAACTTCAAATGCAAGAGAATGTAAATATGAATAATAGAATGATTCAAAAACGATGGCAATGGAACTAGGGAAATCGATTTCACCATTACAAGCTAATTCCATGAAAATTAAGACAAAACATATTCAACTATCCAATCTGCAACTGGGTTCGTTTTACTTATTTATGATCATCCATTTGATGTGTGGTTGTGATCAAGTACTCCTAATTTGCAACCTAGTTGTGATGTTCAATTTAGATTACCAAACAAGAATCCATTAAGAACAAGAAAACTTCATTGAACCTAAGAAATCATATGGCAAGATGTATGCATAGCAGTTTCTTCATTCATTCACAAGTCTACCAAGATTAAGAATGATGTGTACTATAACCTTGATCAAATAATTCATAAGTAGCCCTAATGGTGATCAAACATTAAGATTATCAAACAAATTAAACTATAAAACCAGTGAATGAAATAAAAGCACAGATTGGTAGTTTGAATACTTTAATTTAATAACATAGAGTAGTTTTGCAGGGCTACATCGAAATCCCCAACTATGAACTTAATGACACAACATGACTACACAATATATAAATATTAAGAACAACATGAGTGAAATTAAAGTTCATAAAAGAAACCCCTTGAAGCAATTCTGATGTTGAACTTCTCCAAGAATGTTGCAGATGGAATGGGATTCGGATGAGATCCTTGTTTCTGGAAGAAAGGCTAAAGAAAGAGAAAAGAGAGAGAGAGCTTTGGGAGTCCCCAAAGGGGAGCCTCCTCTAAGTGATTTGAAAGGCCCTCTTTTATAGGGTAAAAGAGCCTACAATATATTTTGTTGTAAAATAATGGAATATAGGGTTCGAATGGTTTGCACAGCTATCCTATCAAGCACATGGAAATATTTGTTTGTAAAACCCATGCTTTGCTGTCTTTCCACAACTTTGCAACCCATGCTCACATGTTAGCAACTTTGCACACCCATACTCACATGTTAGCAGCTTTGTACACCCATACACACATGTTAGTTGCACATGAGAAACTTTTATTTAAACTTCTCTCCATGTTTTATAATAAGGGTCAACTTCAGAAATGGCATGTTTTCACTTCTTTTCCCTTCAACTTGATCCTATAGTACATGTAACTGCATACTAACACAAAACAAGGTAAAATGCAACAATTTTAACTCAAAAACATCACAAAGAGACTACAAATGGATGGTATAAATGCATGAAATATATGAGTGATCACATGGCGGCATCTCAATGGCTAAGGTTTGTCATAAAGAAAGTATATTCTCAAGATATTAATTAGGAGATAATATCTTGGGATAATGGTTAGAATATCCCTTATTAATTGTGATAAGGATTCCTTAATATGGTTGATTTTATTGTATTAAAGATGGGATTTAGAAATTAATCATATATTTAATAAATTTGACTTTTCCATGCCACAAGCAGGAGAGCTTTGGGCAACTTCTAGGGCTGTTGAGCTGCGCATGAGAATATTTGTGTGCCATGTCCATTTAATGAAAACAATCTTGTCTATCTTGAGCAAAATTGGAGATTCTCAAGAGCCTATTCTCTTATGTTGAAGTTGATCTAATTCGATCCATTCCATTAAGTCTCAGAAATGTGGGTGATTGTCTAAAGTGGCATTTTGAACATAAATGTGTCTTCTCTGTCAAATCGACATATCACGTTGCTAGGAGTCGGATCATGCCGACCTTGAATTGGGCTTCTACCTCAGCTGGTGTAAGCTCAGCTTAAACTCTCTGGTCTAATGTCTGGAACTCAAAAATCCCCCCAAGGTCTACATGCTTGCCTAGTGTGTGTGCAGGGACATTATCCCCAAAGGAGTCAATCTCTCTAAAAAATGGATTTCATTTTATGCTTCCTGCATCTACTGCAACTCCGTTTGGAATCTACTTTTCATCTATTCTAGGATTGCCACTTTGCTCGATGTTCTTGGATTTGCTCTCCTTTGGGAGCTCTACCATAATTCCCTGAATCCTCATTCGTGATGGATTTGTCATTAGACCTTGCTACCAACCTTTCATCTCTCAATATCGGTCTGGTCTTAATGATTTCGGGGGCCATCTAGAATTCCAAAGCCCAAGGAAAAGACTTCCCAGGAAGAGTCAGCTGCTGCTGTAGGCAAATGTTCTGAAAAGATGTCATCCTTTGTCACTCAAGAAAATGTTATTGCCATACTGGAAAAGAAGTTGGGCAAGAGCTCGGAGAGCTAGAAGTATGCTCCTGAGCCACCATACCCCGTCAGCTTTCTTCACATGCCTTATCCTAAGGGATACAAGACTCTTAACCTTGTCCTCTTTGATGGGGGGAAAGGTAGCCCTAAGTTCTTGGATCTTGTTTCCCCATTTCATCAAATTTTTTTTTTTCAAATAAGGAGGACAGTTGGTGGCAAGCTATAGTAATCCACTCATTCCAGGCTCAGAGAGGCTATGAAGTATTTCACCTTGCCCATCGCCACAGTCAAACAGACTCACCAATTTGAAGCATCGAATCGGGGACCTCTCACATTTTCCCCCATTTCGTCAATTAAATTCTACACTTGTTGATTACTAAAAACTGTAGATCAGCAGAATGCCAATTTAAGAAAATAACTTCACCTTGATTGTATTTTTCATTAATTCCCTTGTTCATGATCTGAAACACATGGTGAATTTTGTAAGTGGATTTGTTCCGGTCATTTGCCGAAAGAGTTACCAAGTTCATTTCTTTTTGCCCCACAATCAATGCTAAAACTCCTAATTTAACTCCACGCACTTAAGAACACAGCAATAAACAATTAAACATACACAACAACCATAAGACCACACAACCTTAAACCCTAGAGATGAGGATCCTCTTGGTGAGGATCCTAGGGATTATCACATTATATATGTTTATCATACATTGTGTGGCTAGCTTTCGTTAGATATTATTTATATTTAATTTTAAATTAAAATTTAAAAATATTTTAACCGCACGATGTACAATTAACGAATAAGATATGATGATTCTTAGAATACTCACAAAGAAAATCCAAATAAGATTTAAATCCAAACCCTACGACCACACCACCGATGCTTTATATTTTAAAATACATAATCATCTCCATTGTGTCAACAGTTGAAATACATAATCATCTCCTGTACCATATTTCAAAGAGAGCTGCTTCAGTTTTCTTCTTATTCATCATCCTTCGAATCTGAATCATGAGAAAAATGATTTCTTTAGATAATTGTATGTTATTAATTAAATTTGTGAATTTTGACATTTTAAAATAATTAATTTTATTTTATTTGTTGTTTGTCCGCGTATCATAAAGTTGGCATCCACGTCAGTAAATATGTTAAAATCTAAACGGACACATCATCAATTAATGGTTGGCGCCTACGGAAGAGAATTTTCTCCGAATCCAATTTGTAAAGATCTTGGAGATTCTCACATCCTAGTAGTTCGTCGTGTATCGTGAGATCGGTTTTCATCTAGTACTATTTGTGTTTAATTTTAAATAAAAAAATTAAATGATTTCTGACCGCACGATACATGATGAATGATTAAGATGTAAGAATTCCTAAAATCTTCGCAATTTAGATCGGATGAGATCCAAATTGGGCGCCTACCCACTAACTTCCCTCCACGTATGCTGGCTACATGTCAACAGTGGGACCCAGAGCAGAGATCCCATTGGTCCTTGAAACAAGTTGAACTACGTCACCATCCACTTCACCGCTGAGTAGTTTTCCCGCATCCGCACCCTTACCCCTTTAAATACCCAAAACGCCCACAACTGATACAAGAGAATTGGAGTTAAAATACACAACACAACAGAGTGACAATAATATCGAAGGCTCCGCAAGTAAGTTTTCTTCTAAGTTTTTATGGTGCTTCGGAGTATTTTATATTTCAAGTTTTTTAAACATTGAATCTTTGGTGAAAAAAAGAAGAAGATCTAAATGGTTAAAAAGTCGGGAGTTTTCAATACTCCGGAACACATTAGATTTTTCGTTGTTTTTGTGCTCATTTCATTCTTAATTTAAATACGTTATGCGTATGTGCGTATCTCAGTTTCGAGCTTCTTATATCTGCTGCTCTTGTTTATATTTGAGAGTTTTTATCACAAATAGTCCTTGACATTGATCAAACACATCATTTTGGTCCCTGACATTGAAAATCAATAGAAATGGTCCCTGACATTGATCAAACACATCACAAATGGTCCTTCCAAAACTTTTTGGTCAATTTTCAAAGCTTTGTAACTCAATCGTTTCTTAAACAAATTCGACCCATGATATATTAAAATGAAGATAGGAAAGTGTAGAACAAGATTATACCTATTCGGAAGCCCAATGGTTACCGGAGATGGCCTGAAAATAGCCTCAAATGTGACTAGTCAGCGAAAAAACTGGAAAACTCGCCTGAAATGGGGTAAACTTTAAACATTTATAACTTCTTCAATACTCAACGAAATTGAGTGATTCAAAAATGAAAATCATACTTCTCAACGAGACAAAGAGAATGGTACCTTTATTGACTGCTAATTTACCGTGCTTTGACCGGAAAATGGCTCGGACTTGGATAACCATTTTCGAGTTAGCCAATTTCGAGTCATTTTCCGGCCAAACTACGACGAGTTAGCCATAAAAAAAAGCTACCATTCTCTTAGTCTCATCGAGAAGTATGATTTTCATTTTTGAATCACTAGATTTCGTTGATTATTAAAGAAGTTATGAATGTTTAAAGTTTATTCCATTTCAGGCGAGTTTTTCAGTTTTTTCGCGGACCAGTCACATTTGAGGCTATTTTCCGGCCATTGAAAGGTGTTTGGATAAAATTGACCATTGAACTCGTAAATCTTGTTGAAACTGCAGTTAAGGTAACTACACACCATTCAGCCTAAATGTCCCCGTACAAATTTATGTAATTTCAATGCAAAAGGCTGGTTGTGAGTTATGAGCTGCACTATAAAAGGGGACATGACCATCTGAGGAACTAGCAGACCTTCTTGCCAATAATAATTATGTTGCTTGCACTGCGTCCAATATACCACGGATCATATATGATTTGATTTATAAATTCATCGTTTTGTTTTCATGTAATTCGTGTGGGATCTTCTGTGTTGCGACTGTTTATCACAAAAACAAGATTTTTGTGTATTCTAGACAAATAAATTTAACTATGCTCCTATTTAGAGCCTGGTCGGTAAACTGATAATCTACACAATACATAACTCTCAGAATGTGTATATATTATATACAACAAAAAAGGAAGAATGAAGCTGATACCCTGCATAGTTCTGGCACAATAGGTTTTCGCTTGAAGAAACTAATTACAATCAATTTATAAAAAAAAAAAGGTCGTAAAGGTCGTACCCAGTAGTGATTAAGGTACGCTACAGATATGATTTGATGAGCTTTATGTCATATTCTGTCCATTAATCTGAACAAATCTGTTGAGTTGGCTTCAATCTATTATGTTGATCGCAGGAGGGTTTTCGGTACCATCATGCTGAGCCGCACTACCTCATGCTTGTTTATTGGATTCCTGAAATTAATGATACTCTACCTGCAAATGCATCACACCGACTAGGTGTTGGTGCTATTGTTTTGAATGATAAAAAAGAGGTACTTGCTCTCATCTACTATTTGTTAATTGTTTGGATAAAGTAAAAGGCTGAGTAGCTGTTGGTCTCTGATTGATTTGGAGCGACAGTTCAAAAAGAGGTACTTGCTCTCACCTTTCCTTGCGCTTTCAGATCATTTCACTGCCAATTTGGTATAGTTTAACCAAATATTTCGTTTTTCTAATTCAGTCAGTGTGCATACTGCTGTATATTAAACTTTTCCACCTTGTTCGATGCCCTTGTTCTTCTTTGTTTATTATTTAGTAGGCTTATCATTTGTCTTCCCTATAACAACCTTGTCGTCATTTGTTGCTGGTTTTGAACTTAGTTTTCTTCTGCATAGATGCTTGTAGTCCAGGAAAAGAGTGGCAGGTTCCAAGGAGCGGGGGTGTGGAAAATCCCAACTGGAGTCGTTGACGAGGTGTGTACCCTAACGTCCTGAACGAAGAAGTACTTTAGTTATTTAAATACTAAATGCTCTAGAGTATTGGACATCAAATTAGATCTTCAATTGCAGGGTGAAAATATATTTGTAGCTGTCGTAAGAGAAGTTAAAGAAGAAACAGGAGTAAGTTATTAATCTATATTATTCATGCATGCCTCGTAGTTTATGTTACCACTATTTATGGTGTGATGAAGATCATTGGTTTTAACTTCTTCAGATCGACGCAGAATTTCTGGAGATTTTAGCATTCAGGTACCAGTTTGCCACTCTGAATTCGTGTGCTTTTAAATTGAAATCTTGTAAGATATCAAATTTGACTGGAGAGAGAAAAACTAAGTCATACATCTCATAAAAGAGCTGCGAAATATAATTAGAAGGAACCAAATCCTCCTGTACCTTACCTGTGAACCAATATCATTGGCTATCAAGGATGTGACTGAAAGGGGGCTTGACCGTGAACATTGACGTTAACAGTCTCAGTCACGTAATTAACGGGTTCAAAGCACACTCCTGCAGTGATCTGCAACATTTGTGTAATTCTATTTGCTTTCTTTTTTTTAATTATGTTTAGTAAATGGGTTGGGGATAATATTCCTATTAAGCAAGTGATTATCTCGCTAATCTGGTCCGGCTCCAATGGCTGTGACTCTGCTACTTTGGTTACATAACTCAAGCCATGCTTCTGGTGAACATAAATCCTATGAGTACCTTTCTCGAAACTCTGGAACCGATCACGTACTTGTAGCATAATGTTTTCTATACAGTTATTTGGCTTCATCGGAGGCTTTTCTTCTAACAAATACCAAATTTGTTGAACTTCAAATGTTGTGACACATTCTTCGTTCTGCTACCTTTAGGCAAGCACACAAGACCCCTTGAGAAGTCGGATCTAATCTTCTTGTGCATGCTGCGTCCTCTAACCTTTGACATCCAAAAGCAAGAACTGGAGATCAAGGCGGCCAAGGTAACTTTTCGACGATGATGTGTTTGAACTTTGAATACCGCTCAATCTAATTTGGGTAGATTAATAATGTTTTTGTTAAACATACCGAAATTCATATGCATTTGCTACAAATCTGTGACGTTTTTTTATTTCATGCAGTGGATTCCACTTGAGGAGTTTGCAGCTCAACCAGTCACCCAGAAACATGAGCTCTTCAAGTACATTCGTGAACTTTGCTCGGCAAAGTTAGACAGAGAATATGCTGGATTTTCTCCACTGCCTATAACATCAGTTTTTGACCATAAGTTGAGTTATTTGTATGTAAATAGGCAGGATAAGCAGTGCCTATGTTCTTCTGATCAGTGATAGATGCTTTGATAATTTTCTGTAACCTCTGATCAGTCATAGATGCTTCAATAATTTTTGATAATTTATAATCTCTCTGTGTACGTTGCTCTATTTTTGTTTTATGTTTGTCACGTTTCTAGACACAGCACTCATAGAACTCGCTTGGTCGCTAGGATTTGATGGGAATAGATAACTATATTCAAAGTGAAAGTGGAATAGGAATTGATACATTCAATCCAATTCAGGAGACCAAATGAAGAGTGAAGACAGATAATGATGTATAACACAAGTTAACATGGTTTACTTACGGTGTTGGGATCCTCCTCTGTATGTGTCTAGAAACTTTAAAACACAATGAGATTGACGTTATTTACAATTTTGCCATTTTTCACAAGATATTTTTTTTAGTGACTTATCTGCATATCATACATTTATTTATTAACATACTTAGGTGGGTAAAATATCAACATTATGGCTCATTCATGCTATAACATGAGTATATTAATAATTGTGAATCGCACATAAAGTTCCTTCTCTACAGCTATAAGCACTAGCCCTAGTTCCTCCCCCCTACAGAAAAAAAAAAAAAAAAAAAAAATTCCACCATCAGTTGTTGACTTTTACTTTTGGCCTTAGCGTCAATTCCTTTTGGTCTCTTCCCTCTTTATTTTTCTTTGTTTATCCCATTAAATAACCATTTGCATCATTGGTTGTGATCCCTCTTTCACTCTAAAAACAAAAGTCTTTCTGATTGTGATCGCTTTTTCGCTCTATTAAGTAGTACTTTGTAATGTTTATGACTTGCGACTCAAACTCACTAATTTTGAGCAAGGTTGACGAGGTGATTTTTAATGTTTCTTGTGGTTTGTATGCATGGAAAATAACTATGAGGAGAAAACTGAAAATTTTTCATTGTGGTGCCTTTACAGCAACTCTACAACTAACAAAGTTTAGTTCTCATAAGTGTTACCTTGCATTTGATTAGATGTGGGTCATCCGTAGCTGAGGAATTGCATTGTATTCTTGATGAGTTTATAATTAAAAGTTGAGGTACCTCTTGACGTGTATGACATTTTGGTTGCATTTGACATACTTACTCTATGTATGTTCTTAATTATTCTTAATGAGTTTTATATTTAATTTTAAAATATATCTCCATAAGCCACTCGGCTTAGCCCACTCGCATTCATCAGTACAAACCCTTAAAAAATTATTTTAACCATATAAACTTTATAATCGAAACCGTTTAGTTTCTTAATCAATTTTTTTTTTCCTTCCGAGTTGTCCGTATGTATAGAAAAGCATGCATAGTAAGTTAAGTCTTTGTGTGCTACTTGTACACTGTTATGACAGATGGTCTGCCATGCGGCACCAAACCCGGGATTCAGAAAACCACTGTTGAAAGCTGGTGCATGCTTCTCTATATTACAATTTACAATAATATGATTTTATCAATTTCTTCTATACACCAAATAACTCCTCTCTCTGTATATATCCCTTATTTTCTTTTCAATTCTCTGTCAAGCTAGCCACAAGGAGGAAGAATGTTTCCTGCAAAACTTGCGTTTGTCACAGCACTCTCTCTCTCTATCTTCTTCCACCTTGTTGTGGCTGCTAAGGAGGTTACCAGAAGTACAAATCCTTCCCCTACTGATAATTGTGCCAACTGCCCTTCATGTCAGTGTCCTCCCTCCGTACCAACTCCGGGGTACCCTTTATATGGCCCTCCTCCACCAGCACCGCCACCCCCCTCAAGTCCTGGCTACCCTTATGCAGGAGTACCGCCGCCGCCTCGTGGTCAAGGAAAATGCCCCCCAACTCAGCCTGGACAGTGCTGCCAGCAATACCCTCAAAATCCTCAATACCTTTCTCCACCAGGAGGATACGTGCCTTACCCTGATGACAACCATGCTTCTAATTCATCTCCTTTCTCAATCTTCCTTTCTGTTATGATGGTCATGTTGTTTTACTCTACTGTACTTTTCTTTTAAGTTTGCATGCTTTATATTTTCTGTTCTTCTTATGTGGGAGTATATAAATTATCTAAATCTTATGTAAGTGGTAAATAAACCCTTTTCAATTAATTGGAATCTCTCTTTTTTTTCATATATATTTTACATCAAATTTGTTTAATTAAGGAGAAGGTTTCAAACTTAGGTAGAGAGAGATAGTACACTGTTCAAACCAACTTGGTTAAGTCCAGATCGATAACGAACTTGATTAAGTCTAGAGCACTAATTGTCATATCTTGGTACACTAAAAGGCAGATTCAGCTTATAATTTGCTGTAAGGATGACTTGTATGGCATAAGTACATCATAACCTCTCGTGCAAAAGACGTGTTTAACTTTTCTTCACATTCTTACATTGTTACACGAGATGCTACAGTGTACTCATGTCTTACAAGTTATTCTACAATGTATACATGTCTTACAAATTAGTCTTAAGAGAGGGATCGGTGGGCTTAGAGACGCAGGGCGGTTCGTCGATCTCTCTCTGCCATGTAGCATAAGGAGCTTGTTCTTTCTGCTGTACCTGGCAATTGCATGGTTGATTTTGCTTCACTAAAATCTGAAATGATACGTCTCTTTACTCCCTTTTTGACAAACTGACAAACATCTGGCCTTTTCTTGCAAAGAACTTATCCACTTTGCATGCTATGCGTGACGAATGCAAGACAAACCATTTATTAATTGCTCCTTCACTTGCTGGCGAAGAAGTGAGCGGGTTCAACTCTCTTATCGAATTCATTCATCATCTCTCTTCATATTTTCAGTGCTGATAATTATTGACTAGAGAAATGCTAAGGAGTGTTTCAAAGTGAGACATTTTATGAATTTTTTGACATATCATACCACAGTTTAACGTTAATTTTTGTACTAATATTACAATACATTGTGCTAAAAATACAAAATGATAGAAAATTATGAAGAGTCACTTTTGAGGGAGCCTTATTAGAGCAACTTCACCGTTGCTTATTGCCTTTGGGATGGCAACTCAATCCACTCTCTCCCCTCTCCAAAACACTCCAACCTACTCGGGCAACAATTCCATCCAAGATGAGCCCGATGGAGAAGTTAAGCAATAATCCCTTAACTCAGTGCCTACTTATGTGACGTGGATAATTTTGCCATGAAAACGTGGATAATGTTGACCTAACAGTTCAAACATTGTTAGTCGAAAATTTTACCATCCTCTATTTATAACAAGCACTAGCAAACAAAAGGTCAAGATTATTATTATTTTTTTCTTTCTATTTGGTCAAAAAGTCTAACGAATTGAAATGGTTTAGAACACCGATGATATCATGAAGAGATTTTTCAGTGTGACCAGTATACGGAATGGTACACCACGTGTCACTAAACAAATTGTGTGATATGTGTGCTAAAAAGTTAATAACTTAAAAAATAAAATTTTCCATCATTCCTATTAAAACACGTGATATACCACTTATGTTCCGTCACAACTAAAAATTTATCGATATCATGCTCTTGTGCAAAATAGAAAAACACCATTGTTAGTAGACAATTTTAATAGTCAATATGCCTTGGAAATGTATTGTTTCATTTTCTAGGTTCTATCCTTTCCTTCCCGGTGTGTTAGAATTAGACATACAACTTAATTTCATTGTGTTTTTTTCTGGAAGCTACTCACAGTTATTGAACCATTGCATTAACCCGGCTTTTGTGTAGAAATTTTTCAATGTGCTCAGAATACAGGGCATACGTCATTTGTTATTATACAAGTGTAGTGAATTTTTTTTTCAAATATACCTTCACTTGTATAATGACACATGTGCGTATGCATTCGTGTTCTGAGCACACTTAGAAATCTCTCGCATTTTGTGAACCATCTTAATTAAAGGGAATGGGAATTGATGAGGCTGTTTGATCTCTCTCACTACTCACTAGCAATCTAATAAGAATTTGAATCAGTGAAAGATGATCAATCAGTCACTTTGCTCACCATTTTATAATTTATCATCGTTGAATGAATTTAAATTTCGAAATTTGTGTAGTTATAAATCTCAAAATTTAAACACATCCAAATAATAAATAGGGTAGTAAACATCACCATTATTCTATCATGATGAGCAAAAATGAATATTTGCTTTTATGTCTAAAAATGGATTTACTACTATAGTTTTTTTTTTTTTTTCGGGAAACCTCGACGGTATGAGGAAAATTTTATTGATAACAAAAAAAGAAGTTACACCTAGTCAGGGGGGACATAAACCTTACCCCTCATAAAACAAAGATAACAAACAATACATGAAAAATAAGGGGGGACATGGTCTGAAGCGTGCTCTGCCTATTCTGAATAATAATAGTCGTTGGATTATTGGTGATGGGAAGTCCGTTTCCTTTTGGTTTGACAAATGGTTGGATGAATCTATTATTAGCCCTTGTTTATCTTTGGTCATTTCACCTAAGGTTCTTCCTCGGGTTTCAGATGTTATTGAAGCACAAAAAATTGGTCTTTCCCAAATTATTTTATATATTTATTCCCTTCTGTGATGCAACAAATTTTACGTCTACCTTTGCCCTTAAATGTCGAGGATGATAAATTGATTTGGGAGCCCTCATCACCTATTGGGAAGTTTCCTTTTCTTTTGGTTATCATCTTATTCGAAGGAAACGCAGTGATTGTGCTTGGGCTAAGGTTATTTGGAGTCATTTTATTCCGCCACGGCTATCTATTTTGGCTTGGCGGCTTTTTCATGATAAACTTCTTACCGAGGGTGCGCTTCAACGACGTGGTATTTCCTTGGCATCCATTTGTTGTTTATGTTGTAATTCTAAAGAATCCACTGCTCATCTTTTCTTCAGCTGTCAGATATCTAGGCATCTTTGGAGGTGGTTTGCTTGCCATTTTGGTACCTCTTTACCTCCTTCAAATTCTTTGGATGTTTTTTGGGATATCTATGTGCGTAAGCCCTTTTCCCAGCAGTTGCACAATCTCTGGATTTTTGCGGGTCATTCTACTATTGTGGTTATTTGGAAGGCTCGAAATAAGTTTATTTTTTATGGCCGACCACTCAGTTTTCATCATCTCTGGATGTCTATCAATTTTGCGATTGTTCATGGTGGAAAGTTTATTCCTGGTTACTCTCAGGGTTTTGACACTCGAATCATCTCTTCAATGGGGATTCGACCTATCTCTCGTAAGACGCCTACTATTCTTCCTATCCTTTGGTCTCCTCCTTAGTTTCCTTGGATTAAACTTAATACAGATGATTTATCTAAAGGAAATCTCAGTCCTGCTACTTGTGGAGGAGTTTTCAGGAATTGTCATGGTCATTTTCTTGGTGGTTTCTACCAATAGATTGGTTATCGCAACTCTTTTTTTTTTTTTTGCAGAATTATCTGCAATTATTATTGGTGTAGAGTTTGCAAATCAACTGGGTTGGCATTGTCTTTGGTTGGAAAGTGACAACTCTAGTGTTATTTTTGCTCTTCAATCGTCTTATTTTGATCCTCCATGGCCTCTTCGTATGCAATGGTCGATTTGTTTGGACTGCATCTAGAAAATGACTTTCTACTCATCTCACATACATCGGGAGG